AAAACAGGTGGTCTCGTGTAATTTTGTCTGCTGAACAGAATGCTGTTAACAGAATGCTTCAAACATGTAAGTGTGACAGAAAAATGATGTCCAATGATGTTTGATTTTCGAGTGTCTTTTGAGTCCCCCCATCCCCCCTCAAACAATGTTGATTTTTCTGTTTCTTAGACTGCACAGACCACAGCACCTACACAACATTGAATTGGGGGCCCAGGATATCAGAGAATTAACTCTAGAAGTAGATAAAATAGAATAAGAGGTTAAATATCCAAAAAACACCATTTTCTAAAAGTGTCTCTACTTTTGTTGCCCGTTATAGCTCTAGTACAACAGTATTGTATCAAGATTATCAGACTCAGTGACAAGTCAAATTCCATGGCTATGTTTTTGTGAATACAGACAGATATATAATAAACAAATTACAGCACAGAAAGTGCTTTCTACAGATTTTTCTTCACCAGATACAAAACTTTGAAAAACAAAAGAGTGAACCCCAAAGTTTTGCAACACATGGATAAAAATCCATGTTGCACTTTATATGAAGTAATCTAAATATCTTAAGATTAGCTAACAGATTTGCACTGAGTAAATGACATAACTTCCATTCAAATGTCCAATGTGTAACCATGACTATATCAACTGCAACTGATGATAGAGAATCAACGAAAGTAATCATTCAGCTATGGGTCATAAATTATAATGTCCAATAAACTAACCTTTTTAAGCAAGGCACATTGCTTCAGACTGTCAGCCTCCTCCAGACAATGGGACAATACTACTGGCACTTCATCACAATCTGCTGACTCACATAACCCTAATAAAATATTCACAAAGCAGGAAAACAGTCATCAGAGTTATAGATGGATCGTTTCCAATGGAAAGTAGCAAGGTTATTCTCTTGGAAAGATATTATAAGACTGTCATAGCATTGATTGTCTACAGGTACAGCTATGGCAAGTATACACTGTAGTACCCTTACAACATTCCCTCCCATTTCTTTTTGAAGATTGTAAAGCTCAGTGGCTTGAAAATAAATACACCATGAAAAAATTGTTTCAGAGAAGACCAAATAAATTTTTATTTGTGTTTGGGAGACCAGGAAGTGATGTACTCAAAGCTCAAGGGACAGTTACAATATAATGGGGCTAAATGTAATTTAGGCAAAGTTAACCTCAAGTCAATGCTGCTCAGCGATTTTTTCGTCTCACGTGGCTTAGGGTGGTCCCGGCCCTTAAACAGGGACTCCTTGTGACCTTTGCTAACAGCTGCTTTCTTGCAGTCTTTCGCAAAGGTTCAGTTGCTTGCCGTTTTGCTCACGCTAGCTGCTCGCTCGCCATCTCCACTGGCAATTTGCATGCCAGGCCTGGTGGTGCTTCAGCTGAGTTTTCCAAACCTTCTGGAGGCTCATAGTCCTAAATCATCTGTCATCAGCCTTTGACTCTTAAGCCTTTCAGTTGATAGGTTATTTGCCACCACCCTAATCCCTTTTCCCGTTTTTTGGCCCACTACTCCTTGTGCATGTTCTTGCTCCTTCCTTGCAGCCGGTTCAGTGCTTCCTTCCATAACTGTGGATGTCGAGGAATTCATGCAGGAATTGGCCAGTCATCCTAATCAGCAGGTGTTCTATGTCCTTCAGGGTCTCCAACATGGCTTCAAACTGGGCTTCCATTCCACCCGTCCACTCAAGACAGCCAAAAAGAACAAGCCATCTGCCCTTTTGCATGCTAACGCTGTTGGCCAGTATCTAGACAATGAGGTCTTGCTTGACAGGGGTGCGGGGCCCATTCCCTTCTCCCCCAATTCTCCGTTTGCACATCAGCAGCTTTGGGGTAATTCAGAAAGGACAACCAGGAAAGTGGCACTTGATCATTGACCTGTCCTCTCCTGGGGCATCCAGTGTGAATGATGACATTGACCCCATAGGACTTTACTCTCCAGTATATTCCACTTGATGGGTTGATCCACATGGTCTCTCGCTATGGGTGTGGGGCCTCGATGGCTAAGTTTGATGTTAAGGCTGCTTACCAGAACATTGGCATCCATCCTGATGACCATTCCCTTCACAATATGAAATGGCACCTGCAATTTTAAGTTGATCTTATCCCACCCTTTGGTCTTCGATCGGCCCTGTTTATCTTTAATTCCGTAGTTGACATGGTTGAATGGATCCTACTGAACCAGCATCATGTTTCAGACCTGTGGCACTATTTAAACAATTTTTACACAGCTGGTTCTCTGCAGTCCGTTCAATGCACACACAACTTAAATACTGCACTTGCAGTTTCCAAGAGATTATGGCTACCTCTGCACCCTAACAAGTGTGTGGGTCCCTCGACTTCCCTCACTGTCTTAGGAATCGAGCAGGACTCATTAATTATTCAGCAACTGGCTCATCTGCCCAAAGACAAACTGCTAGCACCCAAAGAGCTGATCCTCTCGTGGCTTCAGCATCATTGATGCCGCAAGCGGGAACTCAAATCTCTCATTTGCCACTTGCACCATGCCACTAAGGTAGTCTGGCCAGCCAGAACATTTCTCTGATGGTTTGATTACTTTGCTGTTGTGCTCCTGCAATAAAGATCATCCTATCCACATCAATTGCAAATTTCACCTAGACCTTCAGGAAACCTAGACCTGAGGAAATTTGAGGTTATTTTCATAGACAAGATCAGTATGGTAGGCAGTGGCACATTCATGTTCTTGAACTTACGCTTACAGCAGATCATGGGTACACCAAAACCCTTTGGAGGAGTAAATTTGATAACTGTTGGTGACCTGTTTCAGTTAAAGCCAGTTTTTGACAAATGGATCTTTGAGAATTCAAAGGATGCCTATAGTGCATTAGCCACAAATATTTGGCAAGAACATTTTAAGATGTATGAATTGTCAGAAATTATGAGACAGAAGGATGACAGAGAATTTGCAGAGCTTTTAAATCACCTAAGAGAAGGAAAACACACAACAAGATATTGAGGTCCTAAAAGGAAGGATTTTAAAAGTAAAGCCAGGTGAAAATGATTATCCCCTAAACATCACACACTTGTTTAGTACTAACCAAGCAGTAGATGGTCACAATGTTAAAATATTCAACAACTCCAAAAACCAGAAAGTAATCATTTGTGCAGTTGACATTATAATAAGAGATCTGTCTGATGAACTAAAAGAAAGAATGAAACAAAAAATCCCACATGATCCAACCAAAACCATGGGATTATTTTCTGTTTGTTCTGTTCATGTTGCAGCAAAATATGACCTAACAACAATTGTCTCTGTCCTTGATGGTATGACCAATAGAGCAGAATGTACAGTTAAAAAAATTGACTACAGAGTAGTTGGCTCTACTAGACCAAGTATTATATGGGTAATATTTCAGGATCCTAACATCGGTCGTCATTGGCGAAGAGAGTATGCACATTTGTATAATGGACATAGATGTATACAGAGCACCTGGACACCGATCTTGGAAATCACAAGACAATTTAGATTGTACAAAAGAAATCAAGTTCAAGTTCTTCGTAGACAATTCCCTTTACGACCAGCTGCAGCCAAAACAATACATCATTGTCAAGGTGACACACTTGAGGAAGCAGCTGTTGATTTACCAGCTTCAGCAAGAGAACATATGCATTATGTTGGTCTAAGCAGACTTCAGAATATTTCAGGATTGCATATCTTCAATTTAAACGAGAAAAAGATAGCAGTTAGCAAGAAAGTGGAAGCTGAAATGTTTCGACTAAGGTCAGAAGCATCTCTAAAACCATGCATTCCCTTTCTTTATGAAACATCAAGTAACAAAAGCAACTTGAAATTTTTGTTCCAAAATGTAAGATCCTTGCATCTGTATATTGAAGATGTAGCAAGTGATTATAGTCTACAAGCAGCACATGTAAATATATTAGTTGAGAGAGATTTATGTTCAAGAAACATTAATGAAACATATGACATGGCTAATTTTCGCCTCTACAGAAATGATTATGATCCACAGAATAGTACTCAAACAACATATGGAACAGCTGTGTATATCAGAAATGATTTGAGTGCACCTGTGACCCCTTTAGATGGAACTACAACAACACAGAAATGACTGTTGCTGATTGCAATCTACCTGGTTGCAACAATATACATGTTGCTGGGATATATCGCTCGAAATCAAAAGTTGTATTTTCTAAACTAATTGAAGCTTTTAGAACACTTACATCGGACTATTCTTAGTGAACCACAGACTCCAGTCATAATTTTCGGAGACTTTAATGTCAATTTTATGGAAGTCACCTCTCAACAGAAAGCTCTTCTGGAATATATGATCAAGCAAAAAGGATACACTCAGCTGATAAAATAGTACACAACAGATTATAAAACTCGAATAGACCACATATACACTAATATTCCACACCAAGTTAAAAGTTCTGATACATTAGAGTCATATTATAGTGACCATAAGCCCATTTTCGTTTGCCTAAACATAACCAACTAGACCTATTGTTTTCTATCATTGGTTATTTTGTGAAGATAAGGAATGATTACATTGTTGGCTATAACATTTGCTTTGTTGGTTTAGCTTGAGCACTTGTACATGTAAGTCTGTTATCTTCATATTACAGTTGGTTTGATTTTCAATAGCACTGGTCACAGGTATACCCACATAATTTAAAAATATACATAAGAAAAGTAAAGGTTTTAGAGGTAGAAAATTATGATGTATCAATTAAAATGGGTTGTTTCTCAGTGGAGATGAGTAAAAAGGGAAAGTGACCTCACTCTCACCATGAGTGAGGTCAATGTGTGCTGTGGCGAGGTAGTGACTTATCACTACCTGATGCCAGCCTGCAGGCCAACAGAGTTGAATGTAATTTAGTCATATTTTATTTTTTGAGAGGGGGTGGGGGGGGGGGGCAATTAGTTGAATTTAATTTAAGGTACATATTAGAGCAGCAAAGTATATTTTCCCAATGTAAACTAGAAGTAATGTTCTGATTATTTTTTTATACATTATTTTGCAGACTGCTGTTTGAGTGAATTATCTTGGAATGTTTATGATTCCCATTTAGCCAATAATCTCAGTGGACTCTTCGTGTATTGCCAAGACACTGAAAGCACTGTGGATACAACTCTTCACTGTACTTTACCTTCTTCTTATTCAAGATACTATGAAGAACAGTATAAATGCACATTAAAGCTTCTATATGTATGTTACATTCATGTATGCTCCACACCCAACTTGTCATGGTATGCACAAGCTCAGCTTATTTCCAACAACAATGGATGTTACTCTAAATATGCTACTACAGACAGCTTTTGGAAATCAATGAGTGTGGTGTAAAATTTCCTCTAAAGAGGGATTCCAGAACGTTATGGAAGTCACTTTAAATATGCTGGATAAGTCATGTGGAAAAAGATCACAACTTGCAATCATCTGCTTTGTCTCAAAGCAAGAATGACCACAAATGGTACTCTGAATATAACAAATGAAAAACAACAACAACAACAACAACTGACATAAGGCAATACAGATGGCTATTTACAAACTTTACAAGGGAGTTGAACTTGGGTCTGCCTAAACTACTCAGCCATACTGATTTATGTGAGAATTTTGTGATGTGGTCCACAGTCCAAGAACTGTTACTGGGCATAGTGGTCTGTGTCATTTGTAAACAGCAAGTAGTACTTCACTTGACAGAGACTGCCAATAGCGTGGCCTGTGAGGAACACTGGAATAGTCTTAAGCTAGTTTACATAGTTCTCCATGAAAGCGTGGTAATTATCTATCACAGGTGTTGTAAAAGTTTGCTGTTATCCATTAAAGCATTGGAGTAAAAAATACAAGTTTGAGTTGAAATACATGTAAGTGATGTCAAATTTTTTTTCTCTGTTGAGTGTACACACTGAAAATAATAACACAACAGGAATGACTATTAATCAAGGTTTCTACAGTATCCACCCACATTTGTTGAGGGCAAGGCCTAAGCTGTCTAGGGGACCACACGTCACCTATGTAAATGACTGGATTAACTGCTGTACATTACTGAGCTGTCATTAAGGCCCATAACCCACACACCCCTTATGTCTGAGTATGCTTGATGGGCCTTAATTTTGCGGCTGAACTTGCTTGTTGTTGATACAATTCACCCAAAAACCAACAAGTTCATTAAGGGTGTGAAGATCCAGACAGCAGATGACTCCGCTTAATGACAGCACTGAAGTACACTCTGCACTATCGGAGATTGTCTCACTAGTTTGTATTAATTCTTTTATTTTTTCACTTTTGCTTTTCCTCACTTTGGCCTTCTACTGGGCTTGCTTTTAGTTCCAGAATTCCCAAGAAAGTATCATCGAAACGACAAATTCGTACCATGGAGTAGCCAAGGGATGAAGAAGGAAATTTTCCCCCGAGTTTTTCACTCAAATTTCCAAGCGTTTTTCTACATATTTCAAGCTCAATTAGCACAATCACTCTGATTTGGGTATCACTGGAAAGATCTCTTCCTCCTGCAGATCTTGAGTATGAGAGGTGCCTTTTCATGTAAACACTCGGAGAGGATGGCTCCGGTGATGGCCAGGCAAGGACAGCAAGGGGTAATTCTCCTACCAGGGTCAACTTTTCTCCATATATATATAGGCCCTCAGTTAAACTAATTCCACCCCATGGTAGGTAGTACAAAGTGTTCGTTATCAGTTGTACTTAATATTCAAGTACAGTTTATTTCATGATTGCTTGAAATTGAAACTAACATCGCATTTTATTTGCTAAGAATACAGTAATTTTCAGAACAGTGTAAAACAGTTTAAAGGTCTCAAATCAAAATGAGGCATAGTATTGTATAAGTCATCCTGTACGCAACATATACTAACCAATTGTCAAAGACCGCACAATAATCACTCACCAATTACAATAATTTCAAGTTTGTATTAACTATAGATGTTTTTGAAATTGTTGCTCATTATGTTGACACTACAAGTAACACTATCAAACTGTATTTTCAAGTGGAAAAGGTATTGTGCAAATATTTGGTGACTGCATTTGGTTCACTGAACTTGGCCAAATATTCCAGAATAATAGCTATTAGTCTCTTATGTAGCCTTTTGTTCTATTTCACATAAGCAGGATGCTTATTTTAGAGGGGGAGTGGTGTTCCGTCTACACTTAGCCAGCTAAAATCAAATCATAACAGAGGTAATAAAGTTGTCAAAGTAATACTGCGACTGAAGTACTTTTTTGGTACGTGTTCTCAAACCAGACGTAACAACTTAGTAAGCTTTTAGCATTTATCTGTGCACTAAAACAAGACTTGAAACAAGGTCTGAGAGCAAAAAACGATGCAAAGCGAGCAATCAGCGGTCAGCAGTTTTTCGACTGCGTGACAGCAGGTCATCTTTTCTCTCAAAATTTGACAGCGAACAAGAGGGTCCCCTATACCTCTTCTGAAAACAGTTTCACGCAAAATTGGCCTTTTCATGCATCACAAAAAATTCGAAAAACAGCTTCACATTCACAGAAAAAAGTAAGCAATCACGTTTCACGCGAAAATGCAAATTCTATTCTCGTTTCGCAAAACATACAAATACAATCATTACAAAAATGTATCTGGCAATACTGAAATGTACCACAGTAGATATAGCTGCACATGGCCATATTTTGATAATTTCAGACTCTCTCATTGTCAGCAAGTCTAGATCTCTTGTGGATTAGGGTATTATGCATGTACAGTGGAACCCCGTTAAGACAGACACCAAGGGGACATGCCAAAGTGTCCGTATTATCGGGGTGTCCGTATTGAGCCGTATTTAAGTGGGCT